GAAGCCTCACGCGTGCGACCTCGGCGGCGTCAGGGACGGAAAGGAAGGCGGCGACGTGGGGGGCGGGGGTAATCCGCTACCCAGAAGTCCCCGGGACCCGCGCGCCGGGCGGTGCGGGCGCCTCCGAGTGACGTCACGCGGCGCCCAGGCAGCGGAGACGAGAGCCTTCGAGTCGCGGTGTCCTGCGGCCGCAGGCCTGCGGCGAACTCCAAGTCCCAGGATGCACTGCTGCCGGAAGTGCGGGAGCGCCGCCTGCGCGTGTGCACGTGGCCGGCCCTCCCCGTTGGCTGCTCGGGGCGGGGGGTTTCCGGGCCTCAGGGACCGTGGGCCGCGGTGAGATGCGGAGCCGAGCGGCTTGGGCTTGGTGGCTGCTCCCCTCCGGGGCCGCGTGGGCTCCGAACTGACCTTCGCGCCCACGTGGACGTCAGCACGTGCCACGCGTTCATGCCCGGTGCCCGGGAGCCTGCCGCAGGTTGGCGCGCAGAGAGGGAGCCGGCCCGGCCCTGCTGCTCCGCAACATAGGTTTTAGAACGAGGACACACAGAAGTAAATAAACGAGGCAATCCCGGGCCGACGTACACCCGAAGGGATGAGCCGGCCCTGAGATCTGGGGCGAGCACCAGGCAGAAGGGTCGGAAGCAGGGGCCCCGCGGTGGCTGGAGATGGGTCCAGAAGCAGCCTGGGCTGTCACTACCAAGTGTATGTAGTTCATCGAGCACGAGTGTATTCGTGCAAACCACACCATTCCTGGGGGTGTCGTCGCTGTCATTACCCCCGTTTTATAGAGGAGGTGGGGCGCAGAGAGGTTTCCTTGCTCAAGGTCTCACACTTGGGGTAAAGTGGAAACCCTCCTGGCAAGGGTGGGATGTAATTGCAATACACAGGGAAGTGGCATGTTGTGATGATTGTTTTTAGAGTTAATACATGAGATTTACCGTCCAACCATACAATTCAGTGGCATTGGGTGCCTTCTCATGACACAGCCATCACCAGCCTCTATCTCGACTGCTTTCCATCTTCCGAAGTTGGATTCCACACCTGTTAAATAACTCCCTATTCCCTCCTCCAGCCCCCGGCACCCACCATTTTAATTTTTGTCTCAATGGAATTTGACTACTCTGGGGGCCTCACCGTGGAAGCATACAGTATTTATCTTTTAGGATCTGACTTATTTAGCATAATGTTCTCAAGTTTCGTTCACACTGTGGCGTGTGTCAGAATTTCGTTCACTTTTAAAGCTGAGTAATATTCGGGGCGTCTGGGTGGCTCAGTCCTTAAGCGTCTGCCTTCGGCTCAGGTCATGATCCCAGGGTCCTGGGATCGAGCCCCGCATCGGGCTCCCTGCTCCGCGGGAAGACTGCTTCTCCCTCTCCCACTCCCCCTGCTTGTGTTCCCTCTCTCACTGTGTCGCTCTCTGGCAAATAAATAAATAAAATCTTTTAAATAAAAATAAAGCTGAGTAACATTCTTGTGATTTTTTTTCTTTTTTTAAGTCCTGGCAGCTACTTAGAAACGGGAGGTGGGACAGGAGTTGCGGAAAATGGAGCCTGGCCGAACTGCCCATCCTGGTGGGAGGGCTGGTGGCAGCAGGGGAGCTGGAGGAAGAGGGTGTGCATGAATTGATTTGGGGCAGACTGGGTGAATGAGCACAGATGGGGTAGGTTCTCTTAAGAGTCAGACCTAGTTTGAGGTTCTTGGCTTTGGCACTTACCAGTAGTTAAGTGACCTCGGGCAAACTGATCTGACAGAGCCTCCTTTTCCTTCCCTGTGAGATGCAAAGATTGAAGGAGGCAACGTGTGGGGAAGCCCACTGCTGGGGCTCTTGGGCCAAAGTGATTGCCGGTAAAGCAAGATCACAGGAGCTGGGACCAGGTTTCCAGAGGAGGCCCAGGAAGGCTTCCGGGAGAAGGAGGCCCTTGAGGCTGGCCGTGGAATGGCACATTTAGTGCTCCGGCTTCTGGCAAGAGGCGGATGTGAGGCGGCAGCTGCGATCAGCCCCCAAAGCCCTCCTCCGTCCCGAGATTGCACCAGCTCACTTTAAGGGGGCCAGAACGCACAGCTCCAGAGTAGGGCGGGCCCGAGGGCCAGGAATCTCCGAAAGGGCGGGTTTTGCAGCGCGCGACGCGGGCCTTCCCAGCGGGAGAGGCCGGACTGAGGCAGACTAACAGGAAGACGAGTGCAGCTGGCTGGCGGCTGGCGGCTGCCGGTTGGGGTCCGCGGCCGCATCGCCAGGGCTGCGGGGAGGGGAGGGACCCGGAGGCCTTCGCCGGCGGTCCCAGCCCCGAGCAAGGGGCGTCCTGACTGGGCGGGACCCGAGGCCCGGCCCTCTCGGGAACGCGCCGGCGGACGGCGCCCAGCCTCGAGCGCAGGTACGCGCAGGGCGCGGGCGGGCGGCGGGGACGGCGAGGTTGGGGGGCCTCTCCCGGCCAGGACCAGCCCCCAAGCCGTCGGAGCCCGGAATGTGCAGACCACTGCCCTCATCAGCAGACCTAGGTGCGAACAGGAAGCGTGAGCGAACCCTCCTCCAGTGGTCAGGAAGTGGGGTCCCATCTCCAGGACCCCAGGCCCCCCCAGCGGCTCACACTCCAGCTCTCCCTGCCCCCCCCCATTCATTTATCTGACACATACGGGCACAATCACCCCTTTCCTTGCCGGCGCCACTGCCCCCACGTGGTAGATAAGAGTCCTCGACCTCTGGTCAAAGCTGGTGGGTGTGAAGGTTGGTGGTGGGGCTGGACCCAAAACTCTTATACCCAGAGGGGGCATGGAGGGGGGTGGGCAGCCAGGATGACCTGACAGCTCTAGGAGTCTCTTGTTCAAATTTCCACAAGTGGGACATGAAGCCTCATTTCTCCCTCCTCCCGCTGCCCCCCATCAGGTTCCCCAGGCTCCTCTGCACACAGGTCTCCCTGCTTGCTGCCTTTCCAGTCCTGAGGTTCTCATTCCCCAGCCCTATTTCAACCATGATCTGTTCAGCTGAGGCTTTGGGCTCTGTGGATCAGCTGGCCTGGCTCAAGGACTGCCCCCAAGCCAGAATCCCCATTGCCCTGAGTAGGAGGGCCCATCCCCACTCCCTTCCACTCCTCCCCCTGACTCTGCAGCCTCCCTGGGCCCTGCCTGAGCAGGCCTGTTTGGCAGGCTGGGACATGTCTGGACCCCGAGGACAGCCGGTGGGCGATGGCTGCTGCAGAGGTGGAGGGGCTGGAGCCCGAGGCAGCTGCTGCAGAAGAGGCTGCGGGAGAGGCTGCGGATGCTGTGGATGCGGAGCCTGGGGACCCCCCTCTCCTGGTTGGGAACCGGTTGAACCTGGACCTGTACCCTCGGGGCTGCCACCGGCTGCTGAATCTGTGTGCCCAGCGGCCCCCTCAGCTGCTGGAAGTGGAGTTCTTGCGGCTGAGTGGCCACGAGGACCCTCGGCTGCTGGAGGCCACCCTGGCCCAGGTGCCGTGCAGCCTGCAGCACCTTCGCTCCCTGGTCCTCAGAGGTGAGTCCCACCTGGTCCCAGCCCTGTCCCAACCCTGCCCCCCACAAGGTGAAGCTGGCTGAGCCCTGGCTCCTGGAGGCTGCAGCTGCCCACTGGGGTCTCCCAGCAGACCCCAGTGTAGGTATTCTTCCTGGGGCAGATCATGGGTGATGGCTATCAGCTGAGATGAGCCTGCAGTATCTGTCCCTGTTCCCCCTGCATCTGCTGGTGTCTCCGTCTGTCCCTCTCTGGGTGGGGTTGGGGTAGCGGTCTGTGCCTCTGCACTGAGCTGGGCCCTGGGATTCTGGCTCTGAGGGCCACATCTGCTTTCCCCCTTTCTAGGCGGACAACATCGGGACGTGCTGGGTGCCTGCTCCCGGGGCTCCCTGACCACACTGCCAGCTGGCCTGAGTGGCCTGGCCCGCTTGGCCCACCTAGATCTGAGCTTCAATAGCCTGGAGACACTGCCGGCCTGCATCCCACAGATGCGTGGCCTGAGCACCCTCCTGCTGTCTTACAACAGCCTTTCAGAGCTGCCTGAGGCCCTCGGAGCCCTTCCCTCCCTCACCTTCCTCTCTGTGAGCCACAACGGCTTGCAGACGCTGCCTACAGCGCTGGGATCCCTATCCACCCTGCAGCGCCTTGATCTCTCAGAGAACCTTCTGGACACCCTGCCCCCTGAGATTGGAGGCCTGAGCAGCCTCACCGAGCTCAATCTGGCTTCCAACCGGCTGCAGGGCCTCCCGACCTCCCTTGGTGAGTAGGAGTCGTGCCCCTCATGGCTCCCTGGGCCTGACAGGGAGTGCCCTTCAGCCGTTGCCTGGTTTCTGCTGTCTTGTCCTCCACGGGCGGCCCCTGCACACACAGGCTTGGCCCATCTTGGAGCCTTCACTCCTCCTGGGTGGCCCTTGTTTGCCTTCCCTTCCCTGGCTTTCAAAGGCTCCCTGCACAGATTTCTCAAGCTCCCCGAGTCTGGCCATCTGCTTGGCCCTAGCGTGAGTATCCTGTCCTGGCCAGGGCTGGGTGTGGCCCTGAGTGGTCCTCTGCTGGCCCTAAGCTGGCACCTGCCCGCAGTGGGGCTACGGTCCTTGCGGTTCCTTGTTTTGCACAGCAACCTCCTGACCTCAGTGCCTGCTGGCCTAGCCCACCTCCCGCTGCTCACCCGACTGGATCTGAGGGACAACCAGCTCCGGGACGTGCCCCTCGAGCTACTGGACGCCCCCTTTGTGCGCCTTCGGGGGAACCCCCTGGGCAAGGCTCTACCTGCCTCCCACAGTCCCCCAGGTAGGCTTGTTGCTAGGAAGAGTCAGGCCACAGACAGGCCAGGATGCAGGTTCCATAGGTGTCCTAACAGCTTGCCTGTCCCGCCGCAGAGACGCCCGTGACCCCCGAAATGCCCAGACTGTTCCTGAATTCAGATTTGGACAGGTGTGTGTGGGGAGGGGGATGGGGCTGAAGATGCATGTCTCTACGCTGTCGCTCTGTCCATGATGAACACCGTGTTCATGCCCCAGGGGTCTTCTGGAGTTTCCCGGGGGTCCCCGATCCAGCCACACCCCTTCTATTGTCTGACCTGATGCCCACCCTCTCCTGCAGCTTCCTTGTGACTCCCCAAGGCTGCTCAGTGACCCTGGCCTGTGGGGTCCGCCTGCAGTTCCCTGCTGGGGCCACCTCTAGCCCTGTCAACATCCAGTATCGACTCTGGCTGCCGGAGCCACACCTCGTCCCCTTGGGTCCCCATGACTCCCTGCTCAGTGGGGTCCTGGAGCTGCAGCCCCACGGGGTGGCCTTCCGGCAGGCATGGCCAGGGCGAGTCGGGGTGGGGGGCAGGGGAGGAGGGCCCAGGCATGGGACCCAGTGCTCACACCACCCTTGCCTGGCAGGAGGTGGGCCTGTGGCTACTCTTTGTGCCCCCCCGGGCCCGGCGTTGCCGTGAGGTGGTGGTCAGGACCCTGAGTGATGACAGCTGGAGTGACCTGGAGACTTACCTGGAAGAAGAGGCACCCAAGGTGAGAGCCCCCTAGGCCTTCCTGGGAAGGAGCACTAGGGAGGGGCTCCCTCCAGCCCCTGGTCAGCCCTGCCTGGTGGCTCTGACCTAACCCTAACTCCCCTCTGACCCCACCCCCCATGCCCAGAGGCTCTGGGCTCACTGCCAGGTGCCCCACTTCTCGTGGTTCCTCGTGGTTTCACGTCCTGTGTCCAACACCTGCCTGGTGCCACCGCAGGGGACGTTGCTGTACTCCTCAGGACATCCTGGGGTCAAGGTCACATTCCCCCCTGGGGCCACCAATGAGCCTCGTCACGTCCGCATGCAGGTGCAGGCAGGGCAGCCACTGTGAGTGGTGGGTGGTGCCTCGGTGCAAAGGTGAGTGTTCCAGGCGCCCCTTTGCCCCAGGTGGTGCACGTGGGCAGCAGAGAGCTTCGAGCCCTGCTGGAGGAGCCCGAGGCAGCGGCCAGCCCCCTGCTGTGCCTCTCCCAGAGCGGCCCCCCCAGCTTCCTCCGGCCTGTCACTGTGCAGCTGCCTCTGCCCCCTGGTGTCACAGGTGAGAGGTGGCCAGGTGGCCTAGCTGAACTCATGGCCACTGGGTGGAGGGGGCCGTGCTCTCGGCAGGGGAGCCCCTACCAGGGACACCTCAGCCTGCGGCCCCCTCGCATCACCAGGCCTGAGTCTGGATCGCGCTTGTCTTCACCTGCTGTACCGGACCCCTCCTGAAGTAGTCTGGGATGACATCACAGCTCAGGTGGCACTGGAGATCACCCACCTGTATGCTCGCTTCCAGGTCACCCACTTCTCTTGGTCAGTGCCCCCAGCCCCAGCTTCCTCAGTCCTCTCCCCCAGCGAGCCTGTCTGGGCAGCCCCCACTCACCCCCAGGCCCTCCCAGGTACTGGCTCTGGTACACCACCAAGACCTGCGTGGAGGGCCTGGCTCGGAAGGCCTGGGAGCGCCTGCGACTGCACAGGGTGAACCTCATTGCCCTGCAGAGGCGCCGGGACCCCGAGCAGGTTCTGCTCCAGTGCTTGCCCGGCAACAAGGTGGGTGCAGACTCCAGAGGTCTGGAAGAGCTGCGTCGGGAGGGCAGAGGGCCTGCATGGGGGTGCAGGGCATTGAGCTTGAAGCCAGTGGGTGCCCCCCCCCCAGGTGGATGCCACCCTCCGGCGGCTGCTGGACCGGTACCGAGGCCCTGAGCCCTCTGACACGGTGGAGATGTTCGAGGGCGAAAAATTCTTTGCTGCCTTTGAGAGGGGTATTGACGTGGATGCTGGTATGCCCCCCCTGCCCCGCCCCTAGAGACAGGATGCTGGGGTCCATTCCCCAGGCTCCCTGCTGAGCCCATCCCGCCCCCAGACCGCCCAGACTGCGTGGCGGGCAGGATCTGCTTTGTGTTTTACTCACACTTGAAGAACAGGAAGGAGGTGTATGTGACCACCGCCCTGGACCGGCAGGCTCAGGCTGTGAGGGGCCAGGTGGGTCAGCGGGGTAGGGTGCCCCAGGCTGCCTGGGCAGAGGCCAGAACACTGAGCCCCATCTCACCCCAACACTAGGTGTCCTTCTACCGGGGAGCAGTGCCCGAGGAGGTGCCTGAGGAGGCAGAGGCTGCCCGGCAGAGGAAGGGCACAGACTCCCTCTGGATGGCCACTCTGCCCATCAAGCTGCCGGTGTGGCTGGGGTGGGGGGCAGCGTGTGTGAAGGGGGCAGGGGTGGCACAGAAGCCCGGGGCTGGTCAGGGGGCAGAGGGTAGGGCTCACTGCACCCCTTCCTCCTCACAGAGACTACGGGGGTCCCAGGGGCCAGAGCAGGGGCAGGGGACCAGCCTCTCCCTGGCCCCTCTGACCCTGGGTGATGCCGAGACTGGCTTCCTGACCCAGAGCAACCTGCAGAATGTGGCTGGGCGCCTGGGCCCTGACTGGCCAGCCGTGGCCCTGCACCTGGGCATGCCCTACCGTGAGCTGCAGCGCATCCGACATGAGTTCCGGTGAGTTCCTTTGGGCATCCTGATGCCGGCTCTGGACCGGCCTCAGGCCTGGGTCCTGGCTGCCAGGAGAGCTTTTCATGAGGCTGGGTGAAGTCCAGGGTGAGTGGGGACAGGGCAAACAGGCAGGAAAGGGAGGGTCTGGCCACACCTCACCCAGGGAGCAGGGAATCCACCCGAGGAGGGTGAGCAGAACCTTGGGTGTGATGGCTGGGCCTCTCTATCACCATTCTCCTTCTCCCCCCACCCCCACCCAGGGACGACCTGGATGGCCAGATCCGTCATATGCTCTTCTCCTGGGCTGAGCGCCAGGCCGGGCAGCCAGGGGCTGTGGGGCTCCTAGTGCAGGCCTTGGAGCAGAGCGACCGGCTGGATGTTGCTGAAGAGGTGAGGGCTGTCTTGGAGCTCGGCCGCCAGAAGTACAAGGACAGCATCCAGCGCACAAGCCTGGCCCCCAGGGACCTTGCCCCACCTGAGCCTTCAGCATCACAGTCCCCAGAGTTTGCCCAGGCCTAGACCCCACTGACTTTGGGCAGGCCCCTGATGTACCCTGGCCAATGGTCAGAGGCCCCCATTTTCAAGCTTTCCCTGTGTATGGGGACAGTGACCTCCCATGTGTAACAAATATGTACTGTTTTGGCTGCTTCTCAGAGCTGTTTATTTGTTGGGTGGAGGAGTGGGTGGAAGGCAAGGGGTGGCCTGAGATCAGAGGCCTGGGCGCTGCTGGGAGGGGACCTTGTGTAAAGACTTCACTACCCGCCCCGTCGACACCCCCCTTGCTCCTGCTTCCTCCCATGTGCCCAGGAGGGAGAGGAGCTCCAGCTACAAAGTAACTGTGCAGCACCAATGGATACAAAGTCACCTGGGTGCGGGATTGTGCATCCCCCAAGTTGGTGGGCAGGTGCTTGGCCAGATCAGTCCCCTCCCAGCGCCCACTGTGCGACCACGGACCGCTCCTGCCCTGGGACACCCTCTTCCCAGCATTCCTTGCCACCCGTTGGTCCGCCGGGGCTAATCCCTGGGTCCATGGCCCATGTAGGGCCGGGAGGCCCAGAGACCAAAGAAGGGCCTTTTGGGGACCGGCGGCTGTGGCCACGCGGGCGCAGTGGCCGCGGCGGCCGGGAGGGGGAGCCGGAGCCCGCTTGCCGAGGGCCGGGGGCAGGGGGCGGAG